TTGACAGAGAGAGACACAGCGAGAGAGGGAACACAAGCAGGGGGAGTGGGAGAGGGAGAAGCAGGCTTCCCGGAGAGCAGGGAGCCCGATGCGGGGCTCGATGTGGGGCTCGATCCCAGGATCCTGGGATCATGACCCGAGCCGAAGGCAGATGCCCAACTGACTGAGCCACTCAGGCGCCCCTGTCTATCATTTAAGATAGATTTGACTGTATATAAATAGAAAAAAAGCCCCCAAAACTAAAGAGTTTCCACCATCAGGAGAACTCAAAATAACAATGACTTAAATAAGCTAGAGGTTTATTTCTTGGGCAAAAGAAGCCAGAAGTAGGCAGCCTAGGACTCGTATGACTGTTCCACAAACATTCATGCCCAGTCTCCCTACATCCTGTTCTGCCACCTTGGTATGAGGTCTTTTCGGGTAAGATCTTGAGCTCATCATCAATAAACTCTGACCTGGCCACCACAGATACAGACCAGACTGGGTCACATCCTCCTAGCTCAGGCATGTAAATGATGTAGCAAAGGCGAGCTAGCTATTACAGTGCTAAGGTAGGCACCTCGGATGTGCAGCAGACAACTCCATCCAGACTAGATACTACTTAGTCACATGGTCGGTCATACGTGGTTTCAGGGGAGTCTGGGGAGATTGTCTTGGATGGGAGACAATGGACCCAGCAAAAAAAAAAAAAAAAAAAAGAATTCTTGTTACCAAAGACTGAGAGCCAACTAGCTGACTTTGAAACAATACTTGGTGAAAGTATTAGCGATACATAGTGACCATATAACCTTGTCAAGGTTCTCAGGTTATAAAAATAAAATGTTGTTCTATGGTAATTACTTACTGGTTGGACACTGTTTTGCTTTTCTTTTTTTAAAGTATTTCTTTGGCTTCATCCACACCCCCTCCCCTCTTTCCAAAAGCAGAACTAATCATTCTCTCTTTTTTCCTTACAGGACTTTCCATGATATTTCTGATGATCTGAAATCTTCAGTAAACTGACATGGTTTGCAACAGAGTGATTTCTGTAGTAGGTTCAGTCTTGATAGTGAGTTCAGCCCAGCTGTGGCCTTCTGTCCTTTCATCTGTGCCTAGCAAACAGAGCCCAGGAAAGAAGCAGAACCCTCCTGGCCTTCCAAACAGAATGCCTGGACAAGAGAGAACATGCTGTGTGTTGCTTTGCCTTTTAAAGCACAGCTTTAGAGCTCAGAATTGTGGTTTGCTCACTTACTTGTTGCTAAGATGGCTTGAAAAGTTTCAGTTTATACACTGGTACCATGGCTCGAAATTTCCCACTTTTGGTTATCTATATTATTATAATATGTATTTATAAAGTTATTTTAAGAGTCCTGAACTACCTGCTGTTAAAAGTATTTGCCATGTAATTTTCTCCTGGTTTAAGAAATCTGTTCTTGAACTTTTTTATGACCGTCACTTTTTAATGAAGAGGGTTTTTCACTTTTGAATATGTAGTTGTTTGAGCGGGAAAAGGAAGCCTTCTACCCTTCTACCCTTCTACCTACTCCCCTCTATAAGTGTAAGGTGGGGTGGCTTATTTCAAGGTCACCTAGGTGTGTGTTGCAACCACAGGAGACACAGAAAAACAAGCTCTTCCGGCCCTTTCTCCTCCCTCCATCTGCCATTACACTATTGCCAAATTCTTAAAACTTGGTTGACTACTTTGAAGCAACATACTTACTAAGCTGCTGTTAATGGTACCAATATGACAGAATTCATGTTGTGGTTCAGTTTTTCTTTCCAAATGCTTTAAGTGAAAAATCTCAGGAGTAACAGTTCTCTGAGTTGTTAAATGGATCCCTGTTTACTTACTTGGAATTCTGCCAGTTAGTTACTTATTAGCAGTAGAATGTTACAGTTAGGTAGTATTTTTCCATCACTTAGCAGAGTGCGTTGCACATAAGACTCTAGATGAAGGCGTGTTGAATTATGACTTTTTAAGTCTCCCAGACATCGCAATAACCAGCATAGTGCTTTGCATTTTACAAAGTCATTTTGCGCGTATTCTTTCACTATCACTTCCCGGCAGCTTTCATACAGCTTTATGGTATTTTATAACACTTTCATACAGATGGGAAAACTAAGGTTCAGAAAAGTTTAGTAAGATTTTTACCTCAAATTTTTCTGACTTCACTGTCTGCCAACTCTGCTCTGCTGTAGCCTTTCTTCTAATTCCTTTTGCAGTTTTCCCAGCACTTGTCCTGCAGTTAATGACAGGCTGGGACTAGAACCCAGCTCTTAGCTTGGTGTCCTTCCCACGGTAGAAAACAATCATCAGGCTCTTTCTCCATCCCCAGGGGAATATGGAGGAGAAAGCGTTCCTGAATATCAAAGACTTCCCTTTGGAAAACATTTAAAAGTAGAAATCCTTCTTTTTCTAAACCATTGTCTCACTGAGAAGCATAGTCAGTGATAATTAGCTTAAATTCATTCTGATATCACTTAAGAAATTAACTCCCTTTAGGAAAGAGGCTACTGTGAAGGTTTTGACTGTTTATACAGTAGACTGCATGCAGATCTCTTGTTTTTACTGTTCTTCTACAATTATAATCTGATATTACACCAACTGTTCCATTTGGCCGCTAACCGACTCCTTTTTTCTTTAGTCAGTTGTTCAGTCATTCGTTCAGTAACACATTCATTGAGAGTTGGCCCTCTCTGGTTTCCATGCCAACCGCTGTACAGGGTGCTATAGGGGATAGCTCCTGGGAAGGCCTTCTCCCACCGTAAATCTTAGCCAGATCATGTGCTTGCTAAAATTATGAATTTTGCAGTAAAAGGGTTAAAAAAGAAATCAGGTTTGTTTTTGTTAATTGTATACTGATAAGTTTATAGCTATAATTGGCACATATTCATAAGCGGCAAGTGTTAGACACAGTTTAGTGTGCATAAACAAATTATGTTCCTCCAAAGTGTTTTTAGCTGAATAAAGTGATACTGCGAAAGACTAAACTCCAGCTAATGTATGGCTGTTGCCGGTCATAATTATTAGTATAAATACCAGGTTCTTTAAAAAAGAACCTGGAGCCCTAAGAGAATAGTTTGGAGCTCCCAAAATGGGCAGTGATGTAATATCACCTAAAAAATCAGTCCTACACACGGTCCTCATGAGGAGACCGGAACTGCGCTGGTGCTTCAGCAAGCGCAGAAGGACTCCGAAGGCCAACCAGCTGGGGGAGGAGCCCTCGACCAGAGAAACCTATCCCCTCAGACAGTGAAGAGGCTTTACAAGATTTTCACAGGGCACAGAGCTCATGTGGCATGAAAAGCAAGGAGTCTCAAGCTCAGGTCTCAAAGTGGCTTGCCCCCAGATTCCCAGGATTTGTCCCAGAAAGAGTACATTTCCTAGGAACAGACAGTGCATGGATGAAGTAGCTTCAGTAAACACGGATGCAGAAAGCCTATCACAAGTCTTACAATTTTATAGCTTTATTAAAGATTAGTTTTAAGTTCACATTCACTATTTCAGTTGTAAACCGAATGGGGGAATGAGAAAAGATAAAAGTCTCCACACAGATGTGCTCCTCTCTCTTCCGAGAATAAGGTATAGCATTTTTAGCATAAACACCATGTCCTATAAATCCTTCTGCAGTTCCAAAATTCCTGTCACATTCTGTGTTTCTGGAAGTGATCTGTCACACTGCCTGAGATACAACTCTTATTTATGTTTAAACTTGTGAGGATTCCTACCACTCTCTTCCATTAGAGGTAGTTAGCTGGTAGAATTTTCCTGTGACTTGTGAGACTGGTGTAGATTGACTCTTGACAAAGAGGATTACCCAGGAAGTGTTCTGAAGGCCTGCTGTATTTAAACAAACTCAGAGCCTTTGGAAAAAGCAGCTGTTTATTCCAGTTAAAGGGCTGCTAAAAGGCTTGCAGATGAGGTTCTCTGGCTAACCTTGGTCTTCAATACCCATTGTGACCTTACTCATACCCCTAGTTCCCACACTGGTTGTATCTAGTGCTTTAGGATGTGTCCCTACTGGGCAAGAAATACTCAGAAATTCAGGCCATGAAGGGTTAGATTAGAGCAAAAGAATTTTAGGTGAGCTATCCAGGGCTCTCAGCGTCAGGGTTTGTAGGAAAAACCCCTTCAGAACTTCCCATACTCTAGTCCTGACTGGCAGTTTCCTGTAGGGGTCTTCTAAGACCCTTACAAGAGTATTACACTAGGCATTTCATATTGGAGATAGTCTCTGGCAATATACTTCCAAGTGTTAGTTCCAGCTGAGAGCAACTTTTTTTTTTAATTAGTTTTTGTCCTTACACATTTGCCATCAAAATATATTCATTTCATTAATTTATTAAGGACCTGCAAAAAATGTGCTACCTGAAACCACTGAGCAGTTATTTTATTTTTGATAGTTTAAAAATAAGAGAATTGTAAATCAAGATGATCTGTCTACTAGTCATAGAAATTCTGTGCTAGAATGGGCCTTACATAATTAGGCGATCCTGTCATTTTCTAGGGGAGAAAATAAATCCATAGATTAAAGTGGCTTTTCTACCACACAGAGAGTCAGTTAGTAACAGAATTCTGAGTAGAATACAGTTGTTTTTTTTTCCTTAGCCCACTGTTCTGTGTCTCTTCCCTTTCCCTTATAGTTGAGCAGCTTTTGGAAATATGTGTTCCTTATAGCAGTAGTTTCAAGAGATGTTATTAGATGTTATAAGAGACAAAAGTGGGCATGGGGGGAGGGGACTCCATGGTCAGTTAAAATTGAGGAATGCTGAGTTGTTTCCTTTCTGTAGGACTTCTAAGAGTTTTTAGCGTGCTGTTACATATTGTGAACTTATGAGGGGACAGATTGTGTTTACTACACTTATTTGACCTTAAACTGCACTCCCCTCCCCCGCCCTCCCATCCTTTTAGCAGAGCTTCTCCAAGGACTACTAGTCCTTTGGGAAACATGGCTCTCGAGTAAGTTTACAGCTCTTTTAGGAGACATCCTTAATGGAAATTCTGAATGGTAAATCTGTTACCATAGTACCACATAAACTATAATAAATCTCAAAGTTTAGTGAGATACCAGAAAGAGAACCTATTTGCCATTCAGAGCTATACGTCAAGTATAGAGATTCTTTTCCACCTATGGTGTGTAAAATCAGTATTTGTGTTTAGTTTTGCAAGTTTTTCAAGGATCTAGTAATGTGCAGATACAGTGGTGATATATTAATATTACATTTTTATAATGCTTTTGTATGTCACTTTATAATTTTCAGACTGCTTTCTTAACAACCCTGTGAGATAGGCAGGCGTTAAGTATTATTGAATGAGGCACTGGAGGCTCAGAAAGGTTTTTTGTGAATTTTCCCTTAAGTTTATACCTTAAATGATGGAGCCAGAATTCAGTGGCAGAACTTCTGACTCCAAGTCCAGAGTTCTTTACTCCATACCTGGTTTCTTATTTTTCTTCTGGCTTTATAGCTTACAGTGAAAGGTGTGGAAATGAATCTTAAAGTAACATCATTTTGGCTATTACCAAATCCTATATCTTTTTTATTGCAGTGACCCAGAAGGTGTAACTCTCATTATAGCTGTCCCCAAGAAAACCCTTCTTCTGTCTTTTGCAGTGCCACTTGTTTGGGTGACTAGAGTATATTTCAAATACCATTTGATTCGGAAACCAAGCTTGGATATATAGTTGTAACTGCTTATGTAACTTTTGGAAAAGATATCCTCTGCATTCTCAGGCAAAGTAGAGATGGTTTGAAAGCAAAAAAGTTTATTCAAATACAACAGTACATATTCTTTATTCTCACACAGATGCTACTTCTTAGCTTTAACTTGCTTTGACAAACTTCTAATGTAACCTCTTTGTAAATGTGAAATATTTATATTTTGAAATAAAATTACTAGTGTTGAATGAATCAGATGGTAAACTTAGTCTCATTTCTGTGGAGAAATTTGATCTTCAGTGGGGTGAAACTTTCACGAATACATCCGTCACCTAGGCCTTATGTATTTTCCTTTGGCATCAATGCCTACACTGAATTTTTATGTAATATGGGCAGCTTACATAAGAGAAGAAGATATGTCTGGAGAGGGAATGTGGGCACCTGAAAGAGGTGAAAGGGTCCAAGGCTGAGGCTAGAGCCCTCAGTGCACAGGGAAAGGTGGCCTTGTGGTAGACAAGGAATTGTTAAGGTGAGTGGCTGGGGAGTAAGAATCTGGGGCAGAGAAAGTTGGTTAAAGGAACTGCACATTTTGAATGAAGAAAACAAGCCTACCTTATGGCTATCTTCAATAGCAAAGATATCTGTGCAGCCCTGGCAGACGGAGCTGAACCCCTAAGTGGGAGTGCTGTGAAGCACATTTCAACAGTGCTTGGGAAAGAGCCTCTGACACCTGGAGTTGGTGGTGTTCAGCTCATCAATCTGACATGGAGGGAGAAATAATCCTGACAAAAGTGAAAGGGTGGACTCGCCAGCTTCAGATTCTTCTCTACTCTGCTGGTTGCTTACTGGCAGATATGTTCACAAATATTTCTCCATGCTTCTCAGTCTATTGCTTAAGCCGAGGACCCCCTCACAGGGGTTTCTGACAACCTCCTTTTGGCTTTGCTTCTGAACTCATGGGGAAAGAGGTGTTCAGCTCTCCCTCCCATCTGATCAGTTTCGGGCTCCCTGATTCCTTTTAGTGAGTTTAGTCAGAAATCTACACTAACGATCTTTTCAGTCAATAAACAGCCTTTAGGAAACTGCTCTGTGCTAGGCCCTTGGGGAAAAGTAATTCTCAAAAGTAGTTTTAGGCACACCTGGGTGGCTCAGTGGGTTAGGAAGCTGACTCTTGATTTCAACTCGGGTCTTGATCTTAGGGTCATGAGTTCATGCCCCCCTTGGGCTCCACGCTGGGTGTGGAGCCTACTTAAGAAAATAGTTTTAAAATGTAATAGTGTTGAACAGTAGGTGAAGCTTTTCCATATGCTCTAATTTCCTTTTGAAGAGTAATTTGAACAGTAGCCTGAAAGATACCCAAATCATTGCCTCCTTGCCAAGTACTCAGGTACTCCTTAAGGCTGCATTATCAAATGTTTCATTCTTAATCCAGCCCAAATTGTGAGAATGAGAGGGTCAGAAGAGGAGCCAAGGGGAAGTGGGACCTTCAGGAAAGCTCCAGAAAGACGCTTTACCGGCAAAATTCCTGTCTCAGGGTAAAAGACCCTTCCTACAGACTTGACTGTGATTCTCTGCTCCACCAGTTAGCTCAGCTTCTAGAAATCCTCGTGGGAATTCGGAGTTAAGCCGAGTCACCTACCAGGAGGACGAAATGCTTTGCTAGAGATAGTTGTCCTCTTCCCGGTGAGAGGCCACGTAGCCGTGGGAGGCCCGCAGGTGTCTGGTTTGATCCGTCCTGGCGGGGGCGAGTCAGAGCACGACAGACCCAGCCGGGCTGCAGGGTAGACCCTAGACCCGAGCGCGTGGGGGCGTGGCTGCCAGGGGGCGTGGCTCGGCTGGGGGCGGGGCCTCGGGCGCC